GGGGGGGGGGGGGGCAGGTAGGAGCACCAGTACCCCGCTTTGCAAGTGCTGGCCGATCTCCACAGCCACTCCCAGAAATGGCTGCAGTGATCGGCTATCATGGGATTGGCCGCAGGGACCCCTCCCCAGGCAGCAAGATAGGCCATGGGTGGTCTCCCCACCCCCCTCCGGGCAACAAGATTGGGCATGGCAGGACTGGTCAGTTCCGACTGGCAGGACTGGTCACAGGGGGGCATGTGCCTCCCCTGACTAAGGCGGCACCAGTCACCCATATTTGGGGGAGGGCCTGTTGCAGATCAAGGCCCCTGATGAGGGAGGGAGTGGGGCTGGGGCAGGAGCAGGCACGACCCAGCCAGGGCAGGACATGGGTCGGAGCTGTGGCTCATCCGGGGGGGGCGCCCTCTGGGTGCTGTTGATGTAAAGGGGCTTCTACGTGGACAGACCCTATGTCAACGGCAAACTCTGCAACCTGTTCTTCTGAGAGCATGGCTGCTCTGCAGAATGTTATGTGAACAGAGGGAAATATCACATTGCTTCCCCAGATCTTATACAGGGCTTCACCCCCTTCAGGGGCCCAATCCAGCACACTGTTCTGAAGAGACACATGAACTTGGGGATATATACTTTGTGGGATACAAGCTGTAGGTACTGGCCTTCCCCACACCCTCAAACGCTAGTGACTGGATGTTGTCCTCGCAAATTTAATATCTAGAGTGCAACCCCGGCACCATTATTAGTGGCAAGTGAGCTCTAGCTGAGAACCCTCTGCCAAGGAGGATTCTTTTTCGAACCAAGAGGGGGTTGTTGCAATTTTGTGGCAACATAGATTCATGCTTGCAAAGCCCCCTGAGAACCTGCATTATTTGTGGGACTAAGGGTGTGTTGTTTGCATGCCAGGAGTGGCAGCAAGATCTGTTACAGTAGAGAAAGGAATTGACTGTTACTTACTGTAGTAACTCTAAGTTACAGTTTGGATCCATCAGTCCCTGGCACAGCTGTTTTATTGCGCCATCTCCCAATTCATTGTTACTTAAGTTCAGCTCTTTCAGGGTCGGCTTGGCGCACAGAACAGATGTAAGCAGCTCTGCATTGTCCTTTGTGAGCTCACAATAGCTCAGTCTGTAAAGAAAAAAAGGTTGGTTTTTCTCCATGCTGATACCGGCACTGTAGAAAGAGGGCAACCTCTGCCCTTCACTTTGCTGTACTGAAACCCGTTAATGTACATATCAAAACTCCACTGAGCCATTTCTATAGCAACACTCCCTGACGCCCCAGTCACTGACTCTGTATGGCAATTCTAGACTATTTCCAGGGAGCTCTTCTTGGAGATTTGTGAATTCCTCAAACCAGATTTCATGAAATTGCACACAGGTTTGCTTACAAATCCCTGTATATTTCTGCAATTGCAAAAGAACCCTTCACCAGCACTCACAGAATACTTGTGAAGAGATCTGCTTTTCCCATTTGGAGTCTTTTAGTAAAAGGAGATCGTAGCTTCCCCCATGAACAGACCAGCACTTGTGGTCATGGTCCACCTATCCTTAACCACAGCTGAATCCAGAGTTCAAGATCATTTCACATATAGAGGAGATCTCCTACTACGGATTAGTCACAGGTTTGCCTCCACCCTTCCATTAAGAAGGGACTAGATTCAGGGCATTTAATACACCCTACAGCATATGTTGAAGGCACACCATCCATAGATCTGCAAAATGAATGAACTGGGTTAATGGGCAGGACAAGTAATGTAATTTCCACCCTGTGCAGAGACAAATTCTCTATAACCAATTAAATCCCAGCTGCTTCTGAACAAAGATACCAGTTAAAGGCACCTTTGCCATGCCTATCCTTTAGACCACCCATCTGCCTTGCAGAAACTTTGATGCTGATATGCAGAACAGAATACCCAAGAACCCTACAGCCAGGCCTTGAGGCAGGGAGGGGTCCAAGATCTGAAGAGCTATTGCAGGCAGCCATCAATAAGAATTGCTTTTGCTCACTAGGGCTAAATTAAGCCTGTTAAGCTAGAGAATCATCCATACTGTTACAAGCCCCCTGGACCATCCAGTCTCCCCTCCTGCAAATCTTTCTGTGAATAATGAAAATCCATCCCAAGGAAAGATGCAGAAATTCAACAACTTGCCAGTGTTCTCAGCACTGATTCTGGAAACAACAGTTGTCACTGGGAAAGAGCAAAAAAAAAAATGCACCCTCCAGGAAGGGATGGGAACAGATCAGCAGTCTGTTACGTACATGAGATTCCGTATCTTACAGTTAGGATCCAGCAACCCTTGGCAGAGCACTTTTCCTCCTGAGGTTTCTAGCTTGTTGTCACCCAAGTGCAGTTCTGTCAGAGACGGTTTCTTGCTGAGAACAGAGCGGAGACTCTCACAGCAGGCACCTGTTAGGCTGCAGTTCTGCAGCCTGAGACCAAGAAAGAAAGAAGAAACTGGGGTAAGAGGAGCACTCTGATAATTCACCCCGTGCCCCAAGCATGGAGCAGTAGCTAGGTGCTGTACAACAGTGCAGTATCCACAACAGGGTAGTCGTCCCAAATTGCCCAGATGGATAAATCAACATAATGACTGCCACAGCATTTAAGCCTGGTCTGCTATGCCACGTTCCAGAAATCTGGGCCTTTTATGATACTCTAGCTGTTGGTTTTATGGTTGCAAGACACTCCTTTGAAAACAACTCCTTGTACAGAGCCCACAGTGGAGAGCAGAACCCTTGCAATGTTTGCCATTAAAAAAAAGTGACAGGATTCCTATCTAGCAATGCACAACATAGCTGTTTGCTAGAGCTCTTTCCCAACGGAGCTCTCTTTTGTCTTCTATTCTGCTGATGACCTGAAGCATCAGTCCCCACCATGCTGCTTGTGGGCAACATGGCACCTGTGGCCACAGGAGGTCACAGAGTTCAAAAAGAGGCTGACAGGGAGGGCAATGTATGTTGCTGCCCACAACATTGTCATTGCTGGTGACAGTGTTAAGCAAGGAACAGGATTTCTGGTAGGAGTTCCTTTGACATGGCAGACTCAAGAGACAACAGCAATATCTTTCCTGAGCCAATTAAAAAAAAAAAGGCAGCAGCATCATTACAAGCAGCTGTAGCTAAGTCGGGCTGTTCTCTGTCCTATGTCTTGCTTGAGTTGACCTAGCCACATAGTCTAAATCACACGCAGCGGGGGAGTCAACTCTTACCCTTCAAGGGTCTTTGTAAGGACCACAGTAGTCCAGGGACCAGATGTTGTCACCATTACTTGGTGGACATTTGAAGTTAATGGTGACTGAAGTCAACTTCATGCCACTAGATGTAGCGACAGCTAGGGCAGAACTCCTGAAGTTTCCCCCAAAAGGCTGACATAGGACAGCGACCCTCCACTGGGGCACGCTGGCAGAGTCCACTCAGTTCAGGTAGAGCATTGCAGCGCCACTGAGCAGAGGAGCTGAGGTTCCACCCCCTCCCTCACAAAGTCTCAATGAAGATGAAGACAGGAGCTCCGGTGCAGAGCAGGCAGAGGAACCTTACCATAGCAACTCCAGGTTGCAGCTTGGTGTCAGCAGCCCTTTACACAGTACTTCCATACCCTCATCCTTGAGCTCATTGTTATTCAGCTTCAACTCTTTCAGAGACTGGTTAGTACTGAGCACAGAGCAAAGTTCTTCACAATGGCTCCTGGAAAGACTGCAGTCATCCAGCCTACAGGAAAGGGATGCCCAGCATTAAACCCTGCAGTCTTTTTTCCTTGTCTTGTTGACTCAACATTCCCCAGCAGGAGGTAGAAATAGGTTTTTATTATGACTCATCTTAGTTCTCAGGTTGACTCACTGATGTAATCCACCCAGCATATTATGCAGATCAACAACACACTCTGCAACTGAGACATGATAGAAGGCAGGACTGCTGCCTTAAGTGTGCTCTGGCCCAACTGGGACTGCATCTGCATGGCAGTTCCCTCAGAGACATGTTGGCCAGAACTCCACCATGCCGCTCATCCCCCTCAGCCTACAGGGAGATAAATCTTTGGCTACACTTCCCTTTCATGTCTCTAGCAACCAATTACCCAAGCAACAGGAGTCTGACCCTGCATCTAAGAGCCCAGAGGGCAATGTACAGGCTGACAGATGTACATCAGAACTGAACAGGGTGGTCCCTTGCCAGACTTTCCAGTACTAGAATGGTTCTGAGGAAATCTGTTCTGGGCAAGATTCAGGTGGCCTCTGACAATTATCAGCTGCCTTCACCTCACCCTCAGGTGCCCAAGAGGATGCCTGTTGTGCTGGGTACTGTATGAAACAAAGCAGCAGACAGCTGAAGGGACTTTGAGTCTAAGTAGACCATGCAGGAGTGGCACAGAGCAGGGGTACAGCCCTGAAATAACAAACTGTGCTATGGCAGCAGTTGTCACATTACTGCCACCACTTTTTGGCTGAAACAGGTTTACGTAAGAAAGGATAAGCTAAGTGGAAAGCAGGAGTGAGGCTGACAGAGCAGGGTGGTGAAAGTCAGCAGGGCAGGAGTAGAGGAAAGATGAAGAGGGGAAGGAACTGAGTCAGGGAGAGGGTGGGAGCAAACCACCAGTTAGTACATAGCAGGAAGTTCTTTGTCTGGCCCATGATCCCTGCTTTGGCTGCTTTCACAACTTAAAAGAGTCTCTAGCCACTCCTTACCCCCAACATGGCCTAAAGGTGAGGACTGGAGAGGAGGCACCAGCTGGAGCACAGCTCTCCCAGTTGGGGCATTCCTGGCACAATGGTTGGTGCAAGAGAGAAAGGTGACCACAGCCAGCTTCCACTTCACCCACAATCCCCAATGCAGCCCTCCCTGCTGCAACCATTTTTGCAGCTGCTCCCATCTCCTGCCTCTGAAGCAGCCTGGTCTCTGGCTGGCACTGTACTCTGGTACATGGCTCAGATTCTCTAGAGACTGCCAGTCCACACAGCTTTCATTATGCTAGGAGAGACTGTTCAACAACAGGCATTACCTGATGGTTTTGCTATTTTTCATGGAAGAAACAAGCTCAGTCCATCTGGACCCAGTCAGCTCTTCACACTGGACATCAGGGTCCATTTTCAGTGTTGATGTCAGACCTGAAGATTTAAGGAGGGGTCACACAAGTTAATTTCTTTGAGCAAAGTGCGCACACATACACACACACATTCCCAATACTCTCCAAAAACTGACCAGTACTGCTTGCACTGCTAGATTTATGAGCCCCTTAGTCAAACTGTGTAATTTGTTCTCTTTACGTAAGACCCATGTTGAAAGGTTTCTGCCTCTGATCCCACATTTCAATGCTGGATTGCATCAGACAGTGGTCAAATTAACCCAGCTAAGGCCCCTCACTGGCGGGTGGGTTCAACAGGCATCCTGTACAGTTATTACAACAGAGCCAGGAAAGATACTCGTGATCCTGAGGCAGCCATTCTACCCAGAAAAAGAGAAATGGAAGCTCCCTTCGGTTATGTGCAAGAGCATAACAAAGAGATTCCCTCAAAAGAGGCCTCCTGGAAAAGAAGTCCCATTCTTCTACATATTACTGGTGTTTCTGAGATGCATGGCATATGGGCATGCATTAGGGAGAGCATGGGTGTTCAGTGTCTGCATGATCACCCATACGTGTGATCTCATGGGAGTAGGAAAAGGACAGCAGGGGGCATCTTGGCAAGCACCTCTCAGTCAAAGTCAGACCACTGGAAGAGACGGAACCAGGGATGGGCAATTATTTCAGGTGGAGGGCCGCCTACTGAGTTTTGGCAAGCCATCAAGGGCCGCAAGACAGGCAGCCGGCAGCAGATAAATATTAATTTTTTAATTTTTTTTAGGGGTCCCGTGGGCCAGATAGAATGGCCTGCTGGGACACATCAGGCCCATGGGCCGCATTTTGGACTGAAGGGTCAGGCCTGGAGGGGTCCCATTAACTACAACCATCCAACTAAAACTGGAGTCACACCAATTAACCTGGTGCCAATTGTGGCACTGCAAAAAGCCTCTCAGGCTTGGCCAAAGACAACAATGCAGATGGGAGGCTCTACAAGGCATTTCACATCCTTGGCCTTTCCAAAACCCCTCCTTGTATTAACGAAACGCAGCCAACTTTTTGTGCTTGCATGTGCCACCATCTGAATAGTCTGAATCAGCCAGAATTTGAGACCACTTCTTCCAGTGCCATGGACAGAGCACAGGCACACAGGTACTCTGGGCACAGTGTTCCCATAGCAAGTATTCACAATACCTAGCAATGTGTGTAAATATGCCAAGATATCTAGTTATACTTTAGACTGTAAATCTTATAATTCCCTAGCCTAATCCAAACAACACTAGCAATCAGGTGTAGGGCATGAATAGCTGCATTGATTCCAACAGGACAGTTCAGGAAAGTGAGCAGATAATGCCCTATGGAGTTAATAGGTACAACTGTGAGAGTGCCAGGTAACCTGTGTAAGGGAGTGCACAAACACTGAGGGAGCGAGTGAAAGTGTAGTCACTGCCTTTTGGCAATGCATTGCACTGAGGACTGCTGTCATTGGCCATTCCAAGAAGCAGAAGCAAATCCAATACAGACTACCAAAGACTTCTTTTTTGTTTGTTTATTAAAGAGTCCTCCAGCACAATCAGGATCAGGAAGCAGGACTTCAAATACCTCCACACCAAGCACCAGCACTTAAGACAACACTTTCGGGCTCCAGGCAACCAGGAAACAGAATTCTAGAGTGCTGCTGTGCATCATGCTATCTGCTCGTATTGCCCAACTAGACTTTTAAAAATGGCACCCCTTTCCCTTTCCCAAAGGGTCTCCTCTCCCCTGTCTTTACCTACCGCACAAGCTAAGGTATTGGTAGCATTTCAGGTATTGTACATGGCAGCAGTGTGTGAGGGTCTGAAATGAAGATTTAGGGGATTCCTTGGGATAGTGATCACCTGTGGTTGCAGGCAATGGGACTAAATGGCCCAGAGGCCCCTTCCATTCCTGCATCCCTAGGTGAGAACATATCCCATTCTTAGCTTACAGTCTGCACTAATTGTTTTCCTACTGCATCATTTTTTCCAAATTCCTCCTCCCAAAAGCCACATTTCCACTGCAACAGAATGGCTGGAGGAAGCCAAGGAGTTCCAGAAAGAAGTATGTAATTTACAAAGGCAATTCTGCAAATGCTACAATACCCTAGTAGCCAGCACTGCAGCTGAGGCATATAGCAGAGACACCCCACTAGAGAGCACAGCTAATCCCTCACTCCAGTGGGAGACAAAATAACTGGATCCCACTAAGGCCCACAGAGCCACAAGTGGTTCTCTGGTACAGGTGGATGCAGCTCTGTAGGCTCAGGTTGTGAAGCTAATTAAGAAATACCAAGCTAAGGCCTCTGCTGGTTGCCTTGTAAGACAGAGTCTAACATTATGCCACAAAATGTCTCTCCCTCTCCAAGTCAGGAGTGGGATGACAGTAAAACAGTCTTTGAACCAGACTCCCATAGGTGCTGGACATCTACAACACCCACTGACTTATGCTTGTCAGTGATTCTCAACCAGGGTGCCTGGGATACCCTGAGATCCTTTCAAGGGTGCCATACAATGTTAGCACTGTTAGGTGTGCAAATATGATTCACAGGAGGAATCCAAAGATTTCAAATAGGAATCTGTAGCATTAAAATCATTTCGTCCTGTTGTGGTCTTTTTGATTCTTTGCAATAGAAGAACTGCTCTATTACTTTTCTGTAGTCAGAAAAAGACTGAAAAGTAAGAGCTGGCATTTTCTGAGTGGTGCTTTGAGACTAAAAAGGTTGAGAACCACTGGGCTATGAAAAAGCTCCCAGTACAGCTAAAAACCATACCTAAACCCATATATGTACAGGCAGTGCTTGACTTACAACATTTCGAGTTACAACGTTTTGCACTTACAACTTCTATAAATTGACACCGTTTCAACTTTATGATGTCAGTTTCAACTGTACAACACTTGATCTGATGTCACACCATGCCAGTAAACAAGTTTACCGTGTCACCCATCTCCCTGGAGAACATCTGTCCAAGCTTCCTTGGATGTTTTCTTTAAGAAAGCAGACAAGACTCCAGAAAAACCTGCAGCCAAGACTCCTGAGAAGACTCAAAAAGTCCAGCAAAGTCACCTAAAATAAGTCCTTCCAAATCAATATGATTGCTATGTACAATATAAATACACTAATGTAGCTATATTACTCATCTATAATTGATCAAGTACAAACTTATGGGGTATTTTTGGTGAAAATAGGGCATCAGGCCTTGGTTCAGGAACCAATTCCATTTATAATGTTGTTTCTTATGAGAAAAATCGGCTCCAAGTTACAACACTTTGACTTAGGACACAACTGGTTCCTGAGAACCATTTCTTAAGTCCAAGGAGTGCCTGTATTATAGTTCTCGGTGTCGGTTCCCCCTTTGGGGTGGACCACTGTTCAATCACAAAGATGATTCTTTGCTGTTAATTGGCAGCAACTTACAATAATCTGGGTTTCCTCTCTTCCCCCACCTCTTTGACTATCTCTACATAGCCAGAGGGAAAGACTTAATGGCCTATGCCTCATGCTTGAAACACCCAACACTCCCCATACTGCCAGAGTGACTAAGCAGCCGTCTCCACATGGGGGATAAACTGAATTCCGGGCATATTGAGCAACTGTGTCTTCAAGCGAAGTTCTGCCTGCTCCCTCAGAAGTTTCCTCCTACTACTGGTCATCAGATAAGGGCACTGCCCTACTGTCCCTCCTGAAAGTTTAGAAGAGCCAGATAGAACATCTTAGGCAATCTCCTGGGTATGCAACTCCCATGCATTAGTCCTGCCAAGAAATCAACTCAAGTTTTCCCCACTTTTCATAACCTTCCCCCATTTCACCCCTCTTCACCTGCCTCTGACTCTGTCACTCTTGGGCTGCACCTTCCACCCTATATGGTCCCAGGATCTGCAATTTAAAAGCTCCATCAAGGAGTTTCGGACCACCTCCTGCTTTTCTTGAAACACTCCTGGATGCCAGATACTGAGCACTGTCTGATACCTGAAGACAGGTCCTCCTCACCAGGTAGAGACTTTCTGAGCCTGCAGAATTCACAAGCAGTGTGCCCCACTCTCTGCTCGCAGCCTCTGCCCCCAGCTAGTGCTGATGTGATTGCTCCACCTGCCGCCCCAGTACCAGCAGGCTCCTTCCCCCAGCTTTCCACTCTTTCAGCTGTCTTTACCACCCATCTCCTCTCCACCCCCTCTTCTGCTCACATTGCCTCAGACAGATACTCAACAGCAAAAAACCATAGAATAGAAAAGGGTCCGGTTAAGAGCTGCAGGACCAAGACCGCGGTTCTTCTAAGCAGGTGCCACTTCTAAATGTGGCAGCAGTGTTTTGCCCAGAAAATGTGGCTTTGGCTTCACACGTGAATGTTTACAGAAAGCCAAACCACAGACCTGCACTCCAGCAAGCCCTAGAATAAACAGGAAGACGCACACAAGTTGTCGTCTGTCAGGTCCTTCAGGATGGCTGAGATCAGGGGTGGATCCAGCGGGGCGGGGGCTGCACTGGTGCACTTGCACCCGCTTTTGATTCCTGCTCCACCCAAATTTTAAAACCAACTGCTTGGCAGTGGCAGCAGCATTTCAAACCAGGCAGTGCTGAGGCAGTCAATTAATTTCATGGCTCATTAGCATCTACCTGATCCTCTCAATGCTTCATTCCATCAGTGTGAACAACCCTCTCTTCTTTTTTAATGGCCTTAATGTTCCAGCCAGCCTTTGTTCAGTCATGCTGCCATCTGTGGGCTGGTCCTGGTCAGAAAGCTCCTATTGCACAGCCCTGCTGAGGGTTTGTAACTCATCCCAGCGATGTTATCTTTGTTTTCACTTCCATCTTAAAGTGAATAATAAAGTGCTAGGCCCTTGGCCTCCAAGTAAAGTTTCTTAGTTTCTTCTGAACGATCAGCACGGTATTCTATGTGAGGATGCACCTCAACACGTGCACCCTGCACCCCATCAAAATCAGCCATCATCTCTCAGGCCTGGAGCAAGTGGTGGGTTATTTCTGCAGGTCTCTAGTCCCAGCCTTGCTGCAGCTCTCAGGACCCAGAGGCACTGGGCAAGTGTTCCAGTCACCGCTCACAAGGAGCTGGAGCAAGAGGCTCCTGGGCAGGGAGAGCAGGATGGCGAGAGGCCAAGAAGCAGCTCAGCAACAGCCAGACTGATTTTTTAAAATCTTTTCCAAAGCCAAATCAGTTCCAAATTCAACGGTGCACAAGCCAATAATCAAGGTCCAAAATGCAACTAAGCAGAACTCAATCCTCAAGCCTGTGTGGCTCTACCTCAAACACCCTCCTCCCTCCCAGGCCCAGTGGTCCGAGCCAGCCTGAACCCAACTTTTCTGGGGCAGGGCTTAAGGCTGCATTAGCTCCAAACTCCAAATCGACTCCACCAAGCTCAAATCGTTCAAGCCAGCTTGGTTT